TATTCACAATTTTACACTAATGCCCTGCAAAATAGTTTGTACGACATTACTTTATATGTGTTTACTGAAGCACTAAGTTATATATCTGAAAATATATACGTATTTTACGTCGGTAAAACGTATACAACGAAATGCATAATATTATGTTTCTATTTTGTGATACTATTATTGATGATTTTGTCAAATTTTTTTTTGGTAAATTTTAAAATCAATACCATGATGTTAAATGTATGTAACTAGGTAAAAACTAATATGTAATTAATTTAAAAGTCTGTAGAGTTTTAAGGATTTGAAAGAAGTATGTGGATCCATGGACGTGTTATTAATGCATTGCTTATACAAATAGAAATTAATGCAATTCAAATTTCTATATTGACATAAAATACTGATAATAATTTTTGAATTAATCACTTAATACATTTAAACTTAAATATACTAGAGTATATTAGGATAAATGAAAATTCAAATACTATTTTTAAATAACTCATAAATTATTTCTTTGGAAATTACATGTTTAAAAGAAAAAAATAATTCTTTAAATTTTTAAGCTTTATAATATTGGATATTATATTTTTTTTTATTAAATTTTATCAGAAGTCTGTTTATTTTATTTCATTTTATAATTTTTTCATACTCTGTATTTAAAAATATATTTTTATCACGTTTAAATTGCATCACACCATTTTAACAAAAGTATCAATGGTTCATTCATCACACTTTTTTTCCGTCATTTCAGTTAAAAGCAATAACCACTTCAAATTACAAAGCTTTTGCTATTGTAAATTGTAAAGGAACACAATTGTTTGGCATAAAAAAATATTGTGTAGAACATTGAAAAATGGTTAAAGTAATGAAGAAAAAAGTATACAGTAAATATGATGTAGGTAGTTGATATTGTGCTAAATGTTATAATTTATGTATATTTGTATTAAAGTGTAGTATTTAAATCTATTGTGATTAACATAAAAAATAAGTATTTAGGTATTTTTATAACACAATTTTAACGTTTCAATAATTTTCTTACGTCTTGACTGTACTATTAGTTTTTTTTCATTTAATATCTACTTATTAACTTGTTATTTATTTGGGTAATTTTTCTAGAAATATTTTAATAACATTTACCTTGTAAAAAAAATATATTAACTAAGTTAATTGCAAAAACAAATTAAAATAACTCTTCTCTTCTATACATTAATGGGTTGTCATAAAAAATTAAAAAATTACGGGGAATCACTATTTTTTAATATTAAAAATATTAAAATATAATCATCCGTGATTTTTTGTCACATAAATTTGATTTTCAAGAGAAGAAGGGTTATCCGCTCTACATCAGAGCTATTTGTGTGCACTTTATATTAACATAATTTTATATAGACGTCTATAATTAATCGGGCTCAGTTAACCAGCAATAATTGTGGTTTTTTTTTTTTTTTTATTAAATTATTCAATATTATCAGACTATAAGAAAAATAATATGGGATAGAATGCAACATAATCCGCCTATTGTCAGTTATTATTCGTATGTCGGAAAAGTTCTGAATTGTTGTACTTTGATTTTAATTTGTATTTTATTCACCGAGTTTATAGTCAGAATTTCTTATAGCAAACTGTAGTTCGATTTTATTTACGTCTTTCTGACGGCCAAAAAACAGATCATTCGAGCACGATTATCATTCATATCTAGTTGAAACTGTCTAGATACGTAGTAAGCCTTAAGTATTTAAAATCAGACTTACACAGAGGAAGAGAGGAAGAGGAGTAAAAGTGATTTTTGAATCTCACAATTTTAGTTAGTAGGATAAGTTTTATATTTGACATCAACCACTATTTATGTTTTCATTTAGCGTTTTAGCTATGAAAATTATTTACGGGTGTTGGTTCTAGTTACACCAAAATATACAAATTTTGAAGAAAAACCATTTAAAAAACGTCAAATATTATAAGTATGAACAAAGACCCTTAGTAATTACATTATACAAGAAAATTAATTATAAAAATATGTTGTTCACTTTCCAGCTTGAAAATGCTTGTCGGTAAACTTTAAAAAATTAGATGATGAAAATAAATCAAATTATCTGATGTATCCTATTTTTATCAACGACATTTAAATCATAAAAGAAGTAAATTTGTAAGCTTAGGTACTTATCTACTATTATTTGTTACTTAATGTATTAATTATATATATTATTAAATGATAATAAATAAAAAGAGATATATTATCTCCTATAAATCCTTAATCAGTTACATGTTTTGAAGTAGTTTGTAGTTATCACAAGTACAAAATACAAGCATTTCAGCAGGTCGCTGTCATTCTCTCTCTTATCAACCGTTACTTTGGAATGCAAACAGTCTAACTCGTTTAACTTTCCACCATACCCATTCACGGAAATTATCGTTTAATATGTGAAACAGGGGACCTAATAAGTTGTACGTATGCATTAGAACTAACCTTGATGAGGACCTACAATTAACGGAGTCCTGACAACTACCAAAGACCATAGTGAATGACTGTCTATAATTATTATATTAGAATTTCGATCTTAAAAAATCAAATATATATATTATACACTAAATCTTGCACTTGGTGTCTGTGTATTATTCTCGCTTTTCACACACCACTTTTGGCGGACAACGACAAACAATGATTAAGTTCATTATTGCAGTCCGCGTCTGTTTTTTTTCTTTAAGCCCCTTTAAATATATTACACTAGTTAAGAATTTAAAATAAAGAATTATTGTCATCTATGAAATAAATAAATATTTAATTTTTACTGTTATTTTTATCGATTATTAACAATAAAATGTGATATATTTATATATTTTCTAAGCATTTTTTAAACATAGCTTTTTTATGATATTTTAAATAAAAACATAAAAAATTAAAGTATAATAACACATTAATTAAGCTTTTACTTTTTTATTTTCTACCTTATTTTTTTATCCAAAATATTAATAAGCGGAATAACTTCATAACTAATAATATACATGCTATATAACATGAATAAAATACATTCTTTATTGCAATGCACTTCCAATTAATATATTTTCATTGGAGTTATTTAAATATTTATACTGACAATAAATACTCAAATCAAATAAAAATCCATTCAAAATTTTACGGTACAAAATAGCTACATATCAGTGCAGTTAACAAAGGAATCGAAAAAAATCAAATTACGCTATCATATACGCAACCTAATCTAATCCAACCATTTGTCTGGGTTTTCCTGCGAAAATGCGTTCTGCTATAATCATATAATATTTTATTTGATCAATGAAAATAAATGTCAAATTCGTTTCAACGCCGTATAAACAATTACCGTAATAATAAAAAGGTATAGATACCCTATATCTTGTAAGTAACTGAATGTGCTGAAACGGATAACTGAAAAAAATTGGAGAAATTTCAGTGTGACAATCTAAAATAAACTTGTGTGATTGATTGATTTTGGTTTTATTTTTTTATTCCGTAAAACATTTTTCCATATAAATTATAAATTATAAGCGACAGACTTATATATAATTTTATGCGTTTAAACCAAGTATTTTATTTTATGGTAAATTATATTTATATTAAATATGATAATGAATCGTGTGGCAAAACTTATCTTACTAAAAATTAACTGTAACAGTAACGACTATAATTAATTTATTAAATCGAATCCAACTAAAATAAAAATCAAATACGATTAGTCGTGAATACATCAAAGTATTTTAAAAAAAAAACACGGTTTACTATCAAAATTATTAATGAAAAACAAAGAATAGAGGTGTCAACGTATAGTCGATTGATAGTTAAGTCGATGAAAAACAAAGACTCGAGTGACTTGCCACATACATAAATATACCATATAGGTATCCGTATTTATTAATCATATCCCGTGTAGTTTAATAGCTGCATCCATCGAAAATATACACGAGTTATAATTAACTACTTTTATCGATTAAATGCGAAATAAAATGTACTTTTATTAATTTATTTTTTTTTAACGTAACTATTAACACATTATTGTTTGCACATTGTTTACAAACACTTTGCGGTTTACAAAGAGTTGATAAAATAGAACGTTACTCAGTATGGGTCGGGAACAGCGAATATTTCTTTTGCAATGGTATCACCACACGCGAAGGTGTACCGATTAACGGTATTCAACCGGAAACCTTAGCGCCCGGGGTCGCACCACCTGTCGAGAGGTCGGGACAACGCGTAGAAAATCAAATAGATCCGTATAATAGCTCATGTTATTACCATGAAAACAACAAGAGCCGATGTAACGAATCGCGCCTCACACCGGCGTATATTCCAGACCTCCTATCCCGGGGAGGGGAGGGAGGGTATCGAAAGTCAAGAGGGTAAAGTGAGACGAGAGCAAAAAACGGAGGTAAATAAAAATAAATCTAAACCGCGCCGCACGAAATCGTTGTCTTTATAGTTTTTGTTCACACGAGAAGATTTTTTTTATCGTCAGTCGACGTAGAAAGTCTTACGGTTATCCAGGAGTTATGGTGGGTGGCGGGGCGGGGGAGTGGGAGCAGAGTAAACGTTTTCCACGACGATCTCCCACCCCCACCCGGTCACCGCGACGGACTGCGCGTCCGATACTTCATTAAGCGACGGCACGCGACACGACGTTATGACTACACATCATATCAGCGTTTCTCAAACTGTGGGTGGGTCGCGACCCCCAACGTGTCAATTTTTGGGGGGTAGCGAGAAGTTTTTTTAATTATACAGATTGTAACTATAATAATAGTATAAAGTAACATAAGAATTATTATTATTATAAAGTAGTAAATAAGTGATAAAACAATATTTTGTTTTTTGAAATTACTTTTTTGATTCTGTAAAAAATGTAAGACTATGGGGGTCGCGATAGATTTTCGGGAAAAAAAATCTGGGTCGCGGTCCCGAAAATATTGAGAACCACTGCATTGTATTACGTATTATTATTGTAATTATTATTATCACGACCGCACCGGGTCTGCGGAAGACGCCCTACCTGTCCAGAGCGATGGCGGTTATGGTGCACGCGGACACGGTTATGTTGGCGCCCTGGGCGGCCGGCACCGTCTTGCACATGATCACGCCCCAGGTCCACCGGCGGGACATGAGCGCCCACACCGTGAACGGTATGCACACCACGCACATGATGATGTCGGCGAACGCCAGGTTGACGATGTACAGGTTGCGCGGCGACGGTCCCTGGCTGGGCACGTTCTTCTTGCCGCACTGCCGGAACACCACGAAGCACACCAGACCGTTGGACACCAGCCCGATGACGAACAGCACGCCGTACACGACCACGATGGCCACCTCCAGGTACAGCACCAGCACCTTGTCCACGTTCAGCTGGTTGTCGAATATCACGTCCAGCGCCCGCTTGACGGTGAAGTTGAACGGCCCGCCGCCGCCGAAACCGTCACCGTCGAAATCGTCGAAACCGCCGCCGCCGCCGCCGCCGTCGAACGTGCCGTTGGGGCCGTGCGTGCTCGACCAGCTGCCGCCGCCGTCGCTGCCTTTCACGGACGTCTCGATCAGCGTGGTTACCATGGTCATGAACCAGTCGTGCTTGTGGAGTTTGGGTGGGTTGAACATGGCGGCGTCGGGATACCGATCGCTCCGACGACTCCCGCGCTAGTCGGTAGCTCGGTTCGGATTTTTCGTCGTCCTTCGGGATATTTATTTTACCGTCGGTCCGAGGTCGTCTCCGTCTTCGTCGTCGTCGTCGTCGTCGTCGTCGTCGTCACCGTCGTTGTTGTCGTCTTCGTCGTGTCGTCGTAATGTCCGACCGCTAGCACAGCGAACGATCCTCTGCGGGTCATACCGTCGTCTTCGGTCGTCGCACCGCCTGTAACAGAAAACAAAAAAAACCGTGAACGTGGAAACCCGAAAAGTGAGTTCGGATCGGAGACGGGGGCTGTGCTCCCGTGTTTTTCAATTAAGACGTTCGAGTCACAGAGCTCGTCGTGCTTTGTCGATATTATTGTCTTTTTTTTTTTTCTTTCAAATTTCAAATCAGTCCGTTTTTTAAGCGATATAAAAAAACCGTCCGTCGAAGAAATACGATAGAAAGTTCTACTATTATGGTATACCGTAGATTTTTAATTATTGTTGTTTAGCACCTGTCTAAAGTATTTACATCGCTACCGGTTGAATTGCCCGGACACAGTTCGCTAAAGAGATTATACCGCCTGTTTAACTCGACCGATTATAATAATAATATTTATGCGTTTAGTAATAATTAATGATTTAAACGGTTTTTTGATTATTTCGTATACGTCGAGCTGGTAATTTTGTGGATAAATTTTGATTTATTCGAAAACACGTGGTTTGTTTTTTAGAATGATGTTTTATTCAAAACATCGTTTTTTTCGAAAATAATTTTCATGCAATATAATTTGTTGTCTTACACTTAACAATTTGTACTTACCATATTTCTACTAATCATTGAGACAACTATTTTTTTATCTCTAATCAATGGTAAAACTAATATATATATATATAAAAAAAAAATAATAATAATTTTTAATTTTCGTAGACAAAGAAAGAAAGCACCGTCGATTTTTACGTAAATGCGATATTTATGAATACATTTAGATTGGTCTACTGGTGCATTAAGATAACATGTTGATAACTAATTTTAAATTAATAACGGAGAGAAATGATTAATTGAACACGATTTCGTCATGACTTAAACACTAAACTATATGCTTATGTATTTAATTTATACTGTACATCAGATCAAGTTGACGCGGATCAGATCAGGTCAAGTTGGAGAGAGTATGTGTCAAGGGACGCGCGTGATTGTTGAGATTACAGAAATTATTTCCCCGTACTCTACTTACCCACAGTTATGACGCAAAACTGTTTGACAGTAATTTCTGTAGTTTGCACGAAATTGATTTTTGTTTGAGTTCAAGCTATTTACGACCGTGCGATGGTGCGCTAATAGATTCTTCATTTCGTTTCTCCGGACGTTTCCGATATTTTTCATTTATAAAACACAATATAATTTTGTTTTTACACCGTTTGAAAAAACTCAATTTACCGGTGTTGAATGCGTGACTATTCACGGATCGTTGTTTTACACGGATCATCGACAAACATTTTATTGCAAAAGACGTCGAGAGAAAAAACGTTCAATTAAATTCAAATGTCAACACGCCAAAAGTAAACTAATGTAATTTGCTAACAAATTGATTAAGCACAATTCTGAAAAGTATAACTTTGGAATAATTAACACATAAATGTACATCGTACGTACATCAGTAATTTTATAATTAATTTAAGTGATCTTATTATGAAATTTTTATTCAATAATTAACTTAGAAAAATATAATTCAAAATTTAAAAACTTAATAGACGTATGAACATATTATCTTAAATATCTTAACTTCAATTTATCATTGAAATATATTAATCGATATCTAAATATAAAAAAATAATTAATTCAATAATTTTTTCGTTTCTATATAAATATATTTTTGAATACACATTATTGATAAAAAATTGTAATTTATCGAAATCATCGAGCATTTTTTACTTAAATACAAATGTTGTTTTCAGATTTTTTAGCAGATACTTATACAAATTATAATAATAGGAAATAAGATAATGAAAGTCACATAAATTGCTATTGTATACATACTTCCTACCTTTATTATATGTATGAGCAATATGTTACCGTCTAAGGTAATAATAATAATTAAGCAAACTTTAGACTTTAAGTAAGCTAAAAATTATAAATATAGAGTAACAGTTTAGAATAAAGTTTGTAGACAAAATTTTATCGATAACAAACGGCATAAAATTACATTTAGTTCAACGACAAAAACTCCAAAAAGCAATGTCAGATTATATAATTAGACTTTCATCACTTAAGTTGTATTATCCAATACCGCCACTGTCAGTAGTATAGTTTTTACAAAATAAATAACTTTTACCGGCCAATAAAACTATAAATAAAATAACAATTTATTATATATATATATATATCTTTGACTTATTAATTATTATTATTATTATTTTAGAAGCAAAATTATTTATATATATATACATTAATTTTATTAGGGCGCGTACGTACATTCTAGAAATGTTGTCTTGAGCTTCATATTAAAACTTTAGTCCAATGGATAATGATAAATTACTTTAAAAAGAGAGAGCAGAAAGTGGGAAGCTAGTCGAGAACTTTGCAATATAATTGTCTGACAAGGTTTTAAAAATATCATAGTAAAACTAAATGAAATATAATAACAAAATATAATAAATGTAACAAGCTAAAAATATCGTTTTTATGAATATTTATTTGACGTTAATTTATTAAAATATACCAAAATGTATTTATTTAATTTTTATATTCAATAATAATCAGTTAGTAATTTTTATTTAGTTTTTTTTCATTAGTAATTGATGATAATAGTCAATTACGTTTCACAAAAATCTCTAATTAATTATCGTTATTAATGAATTAAATATATTTAAAATAATTTATTTTTATTATAAAAATATTTGTATATTAATATTGTTTTTACAAAAACAAAAATCTCTAATGTATTTGTTTTAGAGGTTATAAAAACTGTTCACTTAATAAATCAACAAAAATAATTGATTGTTATTTATTGCTTGAAAAAAAAAATCATTTTAGAATAATTCGATTAAAATATTATACATTAAAAATAAATATTGTAAATTTTAGTAATTAAAATATATTATATATAAAATACCCTCTCACATTTCTTTTATGAATATTATATTTAAAAGAATATCAATAATATTAAAACATGATAATTTATTTAAATGTCACATTTTATATGTGAAATATTTATTTACTGTAGCGATGCTACGCTGAATAATAATTTTAACATTAAATTCATGGTATATTAAAAAATATCAATCCGATTTTCTATTATATTATTTTATTTCAACCAATATTTTTATTTAGAGTTTTTATGGTAGATATTTTTTAGGTTTATTGATATTAAGCACGAACCAAGATATAATAAACAACTGGTATAGAAATATTATTAGTAAACTACAAATAGATCTGAAAAAAATGTGGGGCTTAAAGAAAAAATAAAAATGCATAATTAGTAACAACTTATCATGTTATTTTTTTATATTATTTTTATGAAAAGTTCAGATAAAACAATTGATAATTGTAAGCAATAATACAAAAGTTAAGAGATAGACATATTGAAAAATTTTACACATTTACATACACTCATAGAAGTACTAAATATTATATATATATATATATATAATCTTTGTAATTGTAGCCTTTACCAATAATAAAAACAAATGTATATATATATATAATACATATAAACTTCTAAAAAAAAATCTGCAACTACAGGCAGTTTGATAATTAAATAATTTCAGTTGTTAGAAGAACGCTTAAATATTATGGAAGATATCAGTAGGTAAATAACTATTTATTTTCTTATCCCTAGATTTTTCGATTTTCGTTTATTATACCTATTTTTAGTCCTTGATATTTGGTAAAATTAATTTATATAGTTTTATATAAATTTTTTGACTATTTATTTGTATTTAATCATTTTCAGTTATTCACCAGTCACTACTAATAGTCATAATTATTATTTATATAGTATAGACAATTTTGTTGAAATATTATATAATCGGTTGATTGTCTAATTATAATTTAATTTTTAAATACATTTTAATTTACACAAATTTAAAAAATATATAAGCCAATATTTAAATATTAATAACAATTTTAAGTATTTATCAATTAAATAATAAATTTAAAATATTGTTATTTTTACTATTTGCAGATTAAAATTATAAATCTATCTATCTTCTATTTAGTTCATTTATAAATGAATAATTAAAGTTCCATTTTATTTAACATTAAAATATTAAGATTTTTAATTGGTGCTTCCATTGAAATAAAGTATACTTAAGTAAGGCAATTAATTAATTTCTCGTATAGACGTATTTTACGAATTATCATAAATCACAATATGTAATTAAGCAATAGTTACTAAGTTAACTACATATTAATTACAGGGAAAATGTAATTTCTTTCAAATACCTAACTTTATGTGGCTTCAGTAATTCACTAAGGTGATATTTATTGTGTTTATTCAACACAGTATTAAACGAAATAAAACATGTCTGCTCGATACGAACTTATGACTCGGAACTTTTTAGTCAAATCTAAATTCGAAAAGTAGAACTTTTTAATTTGATTTAGCTTATGTAACAGTGATTCTTAGTCTTTATTATGACTGTACATAAATGATATACATACACATATTTACATTTTATAACAATAATAACAGCAATCGTTTTCTCTAATAAATAAATGTCTACTAGACTAACTACATAAATGCGACTAAAACAGTTTATATAGTTGAGATATTTTGAAGCAGGAAAAAATGACGGTCTATTATTGTTGTACTAAGCCCGATTAAAGATAAGTTAGTTGAATTTATATTGTTCATAATTTGTTAAAACTATAAATTGATTTAAAATCACAAAATATGATGTTATATACTCAAATAAACAGGATGTTTTCAAGAACTCTTGGTTTGATAAGAATATAAAAGTTTTTAAAGTTATTATGTTTAGGTCAACAATCGATTCAAAACCAAAAAAATAGTATAAATATTTTTTCCATTCATACAATAAATAAAAAAATATTTCTTATGTATAAGACTATATTGACAAACATTTTCTGATGACAATTTTATCTCAATAAAATGTTAAATGGAGATATATAACATAATATATTTTTATATTATCTACTTGATAAAAAGATTATAGAACCAGAGTGTGACCTATTTTTTGCTCAAAAACATTCTTTACAAGAAAAACTTTCACGTA